CCATGAGACTCCTTGGACATACTTCTATGGAAGACCTTCAAAGAGCCCAGCCATAGTGATATTTGCACTTGGAATAGAGCTGAATTCATGAAGTCGTGACAGCTTTGCTCAGTGAGTAGTCTTGTATAATAACCCCAACACAGTGTAGCCCAGGCTTGCCTCAAATATTCGATGCTTCTTTAATCATGGTCCTCTGGAAGAACAGTCAGTGCTCTTAAGCACTGAGCCATCTCTCCAGCCCTTGGATGCAGTTTTTATAGTAAAAAAATAAAGAAAGTCGTAAGTCAAGACACATTCCAAATATATTGTGGAGACAGGTTACAGCAAATGTGGGAAAATCTATTATAGGACTCAGTGAAGACATTCTTAGCTTTTTGGATGAGAGAAGTTGACTGCCAAGGATGCACTTAAAAGGATTTTACAGTCATAAGGATACACTGATGATAGGTCATACAGAGTGATTGAAAGTGAATGGTTTTCCAAGGAACTAAAAATATCCCAACATAATTTGGCTCTGGTCTATAACAGTCTAACTGTCCATAATCAGGAAGTTCAAACATTTGGAGTCATAGAATCTCTTATTGCTTTTGTTTTGTTTTGTTTTTGAGAGTTTATCTTTGTAACCCTGACTGTCCAGGGACTCCCAGAGATCCACCTGCCTGTAGTGTCCCAAGTGCCTGGAGTACAGGTGTATGTCACTGTGCAGACCCAGTGAGTCATAGGATCCTTAACGCAGAATCGTCTTTTCCCTGGCAATACCACACTACTAACTTCTGCTCCTTCTCTGTCTGTGACAACACCAGAGTCAGGACCTCGGGACTATAGCACTGGACAAACAGAAGTCTCTTTCCTAGACAGTGTTTCTGTTCAACTGTTTCAGCTGCAATGGAAAGGGGCTGCCATGTGGTTAAAAAAAAAAATGGGGCAGAGGAGGAAAAGGGAGTGAATTTCAGCTCCATGGGTAGTAGGTGGAAAGAGATTTTTTTCTGATATATTTTTTTTTAAACCAGGCTTAAAAATCACAGTTACTTAGTGCCACACACCTTATCTCTTAAAGGGGGATGGGGGTGAGGGCATTGAAAATATGGCTCAGCAGTTAAAAGTTCTTACAGAGGACCTGGGTTCAGTTTCCAGCACCCACATTTTGACTTAGAACCTTCTACAACTCCAGTTCCTGGATATCTAATGCCCTCTTCCAGTCTTTGAGGACACCAGGCATGATGTGCACATATACATGCAAGTAAAACATGCATACATATAAACTGAAATAAACCTAAAAGGAGAGATGCCTAAGAATTTAGCTCACTTGATAGAATGGACCAAGCATGCACAAAGCCCTAGCTCTCTTCCCAACACTGAATAAACTTGATGTGGGTTCTCCATGCTTGTATATCCAACATTGATGAGGTGCAAGCAGGAGGGTCAGGATTTCAAGGGTAGGGCTGAAGCAATACTCAGTGCATAAATTGTCATGTAAACAGGAGGACCTGGGTTTGCTTCTTCATTGCCCACCTCATCTAGGCTTCTGACCTGCATACCTACACACATGCACAAATACATACTCAGATATGCAGAAGAGGTTCAAGCGGGCTGAGAGATGGCTTAGTAGTTAAGAGCACTTGCTACTCTTGCAGGACACCCAAATTCAGTTCCCAGCACCTGCTTTGGCCACAACCACCTGTAACTCCAGCTGCAGTAAATCTAATGCCCCCATCTAGCCTCTATGGGTACTGACACCCCTTTATTTAATATATAAGTATTATATATTATGTATTCTAGTTTATTGTTTTTCATACATATTATTTTTATATTACATATATTAGAATTTTAAAAAAGTTTAAGGTAATCAGCCATACCAACAATTTCCAGGTCAGCTTGGGATACATGAGGCCCTGTTATTTGTAAATAAAACAGGAATAAGCAAAGGTTAAATTTTAATGAAATGATATGCTCAGTGCATGGGCAATTGTAGGTGGCCTCTGATGCTAAGCTCCTACATGTGTGCCTTCTACAGACTCTGTAACAGATTCCAGTGCACCTTTGATGTAAAGGAGGTTCCAGCATCTCTTGTTTCCTGTGTCTATCAGTGTGTGTGTGTACCCATGTGTGCGGAAGCTGGGTGATAAGGCAGGGTGCTTAAATGCTTTGTTGCATTATGTTAATTCCTCAGCAGTGCAATCAAATTCATGTCGTAATTAAAGCTGTCAGTTGGAAGGCAAGCCAATCGCTGCGAAAGCACAGCATAACAAATGAACTGAAATGATTCTGCGTGTAGCTATACAATGCTTCACCAGGCATGAAATTAAATAAGTAATTTGATGTTGACATCAGAAATTGAAATGATACCCACTGTTCCCTCATTCAGTCAGACCTGCATAAACAATGGCCAGAGCAAACATGCACAACAAAGCCCTCCTCTCCACCCGCTCCCCAAGTAATGCACAATATATATGCAAAATGAGCATATCAGAGCTTGCTTAGACCTCAAGGATGTAATTTGCTTTGGTATACAATACGGTGATAGGCGTGTGGGGGTGGGAAGCTTGGGTTGGAGTGATCCTTCTCCTTCTGGGATAAAACATTTTCAGCAAGCAGGGTGAATGAAATCAACAAATCCCCTTTCATCTCTGTCATTCATCCTAAAATGAGTTTGTTTCCTAGAGGCAGGACTCCAGGCTGGTAGAAATCTAACTTGTCTTCTGCCTTTGCCTGCTGTAACGAGGGCTGGGGGTGTAGAAAATAGGTGACATTGTCACATGGTCAGCCACTGGTATAAGCAGTCTCCATGACTACGGTGGGTGGATTGAACCCTTTCTCTCTCCCGCTTATAGAATCAAGAACACAGAGGGTTTTGTTTGTTGCTGATTGTTTCTTTTTCATAACTTATGTTTGTGTGTGTTTGTGTGCGTATGTGTGTGCACTGCAGGTGTACAGGTACCCAGGAAGACCAGAAGATGGTTATGGATCCACTTGAACTGGAGTTACAGGTGGTTTTGAGCTCCCTGATGTGGGTGCTGGAAACTGAGCTCTTGTCCTCTGGAAGACCTTAACCACAGAGATTTTTGTAGCCTTGCAGAAAGGTTTATAAACGTGGATCACATACCCAGTGTAATGCACATGGTGCTTTATTCCTGTGAGCTAATAGGAAACATCAAGATAGGAAATTTTGCTCTAGGAATGCTATGAAGCATGCTTGTCTTTGTTTGGAGTGGCAATAGTCAGAAAATCATGTCCCTTTCTGTTATGGTTTGATTGTGAAATATCCCCTTCAGGCCCATGTTTCTGAACACTTGGTCTAAGGCTAGTACCACTGTTTAAGAGACTGTGGAACCTTTAGGAAATAGAGCCTTGCTCTAGTCGCTAGGAGTAGGCCTTGGTGTGTTATGGATCCCCTGTAGTACTTCCTGTCTGCTCTCTACTTCCTGACTGCTGATGCAATGTAATGAGCGACCTCTGACTCTTGCAGTCTTCACTGTAATAAACCTTATCCTCAAGCTGAGATCTAAAATAAATCCTTCTTGTCAAAGTTGCCTTTTGTTGGGTGGTTGGTCACAGCAGTAAGAAGAGGAACTCTTATGCCTACTCAGTTCACAACGAACAGAAATCGTATCTGTTGTGGTTTTAGAGCTGTCAGATTCTCTGTAGCGTCTTCCACCTAAAATAACCCATCCATTTATTTATACACCACTTCAACCAGCATTTCTGTAGTGCATCTTGTGTGAAAGACATGATGTGTAAGACACATGTCCCTCTCCAGCCTTCATTCCTGATATCCCAACACTCAGGGGATGGAAACAGGAGCATCAAGCTTGTCCTCAGCTACACAGGGAGTTGGAGGCTAGCCTAGACCATGCAGAGACCATGTCTAAAGACTGGATAGAGGGCTGGGCAAATAGTTTAGTTGGTTGAGTGGTTGCCTAGCATGCAAGAAGCCCTGCATTTGATCCTCAACAGTATGTAAATGAGAGTAGTAGTGCATTCCTGCAATCCCATCTTTTTGGAATTGGGGCCAAACCTAGACTACATGAAAACCTATCTCAAAAACTGGGAGGAGGTGGGGACTACAGAAACAACGCATTGGTTAAAAGCACTTACCCCTTCCAAGTTTGGTTCCCAGCATTCACGTCAGGAAGCTCATAGTTGCCTATAACTCCAGTACCAATTCCCTTTGGCCTCTTTGGGGCACCTGCACACAGCACACACATAGTTCACATAAATGTGGGCATACATATGTACTCATAGATAATAATAAAAAGATATACAAACTTTCATATTTATACACTGGATTCTCTTTTTCTCAGCACTTGATACCCGGAGTTCCGTTCAGAATTATTGATTTTTAGTGGATCACTGTGCCAGAGCTGTGGCAGTCTGAATTGATATTATTGAGGCAAAACTGCTTCCCTCTGCCCACAGATTCTTTGCATTTCAGTCAACTAATTATGTTTACAAAATGTCTAATTTTTGCACAGTGCCAAGTGTGTGCTAACCAAAGCCTTCAGGGAATAAACTGCCAAGTAGGTCATATACCAAAAAGTCATCCAAACCCATTGGGCTTTTTATTTTCAAGTCAGTCTGGGCTTTTTCCTCTTGTCTGCCTCTCTGTGGCCGCAAAACCAAATAGCTTGAGACCCGGGCCTTGAATGTCAGGAAGTCAGGGAGGCAGGCTGCCACGTGCCTGTTTAGTCTCAGTGCAGGGCGAAATGCCATCATTAATTCATTACCCAGCTGCCTGTCAAATAAATTGGCAATTACATCCACCGAAGAAGCTCAGAATCCAGTAAATAGCACGTTAGCATCTCTGAGTCGTTGAGAGATATAAAGGGGAAAAACCAAGCAACACAGTCTGTGTATCAGCAGCAGATGATAAGGGGCCTCACACTCAGGCATGTGATGTCTGGATGAAAAGCTCACAAAGGGCTGGTAATGAGCTGTGCGGATGGGAACATGTTAAAAATTGCTACTGACTTCTCCACTCTGTCTGTGTGCTTTCTTTGCAGAGTTCAGCTCCTTCCAGCTTGGGAACAGGCTACTTCGTAAGTCCATCTCCACTTCCACCTGAGCGCCTCCTGTTGCCATCAGTCCACTTCTATAACAAACCCTCATTACAGTGTGATAAAATAACACCTAAGGAAACCCCTTCCCTCCTAACGAGTATACTGACCTCCACCCTTTCATTGAGAGTTGTTTTATTTTTAAAGGGTTTAACCTTATGGGCCCTAAGGATCAGGAGGCACCTGCCTGGGTGGGGCACTTAGCATGTTTGGGAGACGTGGGAAACATGATTGCTCTTACCAGTCCAGTTCCATGATTATTGGAAATCAGATTATGTATGGAGGTACTTGCCTTCTCTGTAGCAGTCTGAAGAGCTTCTGTGTATAGAGTGACTTGCTTTACTATTTCTGACCTTTTATTTTAAGGGGAGGTGACTTTCCAATATTGTTTCTATTGCACCCTGGTTGGTAGCCTCTATCTAGCTTTTAAGTCAGAAATCTCCACATTTCACAGTTTGGCAAATACAAATGCATTATGTTCTTTCTGGTCCTTACATTCTGTCCTCAGGGGAGGGGAGGGGATAGAGCAAACATATTTCTGGGATTATTACACTATCTTTCATTGAAAGACAGAGAAATGGTTGCTTCATTAAATTTTTATAACAAAATTACCCTTTGTGGATTCAGTATTCCTTCTCAAGATATAAATGAGGAAGGATTACAAACCAGCATTATTTACACAAGATAACATAGTGTTACAGTATACCGTGGCATTTACAGGAAGTTGATTGTGTTCTCAAGTAACACTTGATACTATAATACCCAGGGTTGAACACATACTACAAAATGTGGTCAATAAATACTAATTCAGTCCAGCTGGCTTTTAACTGTGTCCTTTTAACATGCTAATCATTCTTGTGCTCACTTATTTCTCTCACCTTCATATTTCTGTTAAATATGAAAGTCAGAATGTTTCAGTGAATACTGAGTTTTTTACTAAGTTTGTCCCAAAAGACATCCTTCCTGCCCTGCCCCCACTACCTTGGTCTTAATCTGTCATCCAAGCAGAATGGTAAGGGTGGCTCTGGACCTGCAGCATACAGTTAGCACACTTACATTGGTTCTGCATACTAGGCCTGAATATTCATGCTTACAAAAGGAGCAGGGTGTGCTCGGTGTCTTGCTTCAGCAGTCGAAAGAACAGACGCGGTCCCATCTGCCATCTCTTCACACCAGGCTGGGTGTGGGTTGAGATGCTGGGAGCAAAATCTGGAGGCTCTTGGGCCTGTTCTGTGTGCTCTCTATCCTCACCCCACCTCCTTTTCAGAAATGAAGCCAAAGCCACCACCTTCGCCATGTTCAGTTACAGCCTGAACATCTGCTGTCCTTTTTTTTTTGTCACCATAATTGCCCTGAAAGAAGAATGTCATTTTAAGAATCAGCATTTTATTTTGCTTTTTACTTCCTTAGTTCTAGGAATGCTTATTTTTATTATCTAATGATATATCTGATAACTGAAATATACTTACTTAGGATTTGGAAGTGAGTTTTGCTTGGACAATGACTTTGGTTAGCTTTTTAAAACTTTATTTTGCCAAAATTGCTTTGGTAAAATCCTCTTACTTTGCTTATCTCAAAAGCTGTCACGTTATTAGCGTACATGGAGAAGATGAGTACCAGATGTGTGTTCTGCTCTCAGCAATGATAAAAATGCCCCTCTCAGAATGTGTTTCCAATACTGCATTGTTCTGTTATCACCCTGCAACATCTTTGGTGGAGTTTCCAAACCCTCATCAGAATCCAACTCTGTTTCAAGTGTCATTTCATCAATATCACATGTAATACTCAATTTCAGTCACTAACTTCCACACTTTTCACGCTTTTATGTGGAATTATGTATTTATAACTTCTATTGCTGCCCTCCCCCCCCCCCAAAAAAAAATCCATACAGTTTGCACAGGGGGCACAGGCTCAGTATTAGGTTGAATCCCATAGTGATTTCTTTTTTCTCATTAATCTTCTTCAACGACTCTTTGAAATGTGGATGGAGGGGAATCACTACAGATGAGCTAACTCTTACCATTAAATCATAAACTGTTGGATTTGGAAAGGCTAAAGTCCCTCACCTTTGGAGAGTAACAGCGAAGAACCATTTCAACACTCTCCCATGCTTCAGTATCTCTCCTCAGTCTAGAACCTTCTGTCTACTCCCCTGTCCTGTACTAGAGATTTTAGTAGACTAAGGGTAAAAATCCATTTGTTCTATTTATTCATGAAACAGGTACTGTAATCCATGCATGAGTCTTATTTTTTGTAAGTGTTGTGTGTATCTGTACTTGTACCTGCCCGTTCTTGGGCAAATCTAAGAGTACTTGTATTTGTCTCAGTTTTTCCACTGTATCCATCCCATTCTGCTGAAGGGCTTAAAAGAAGCCTTTGTTTGTGATCTTGTAATATTTGTTTATGTCTTCCTGGTTTTGTGTTCCAAAGATGTCTGCTTAGGTCTGACAGTTTTCCAATCTATGCAAAAGCAGAAGATTTAAGAGATGGGAACAGCAGTGAAGAACAGTATTTACATAAGCATATTGCAAAGGATTTCCAAAGTAGACAAAATAGAGAAAGATTGGAACAAACTTTGCACGTCTGGGGGAGGCGTTGAATACCGTGAGTGTCATACACACACACACATACACACACACACACACACACACACACACACACACACACACACACACA